ATGCAGGCGAAACGTCAGGAGAGAATGCCTCTAGAACATGGCCATATAGCTCAAAAAAACCTACAACAACCCTCTGTTATTATACTTTTTAATTTTGTTTTTATGTGTCCTGCTATTCTTGTAAAAACTCAGTTCTTGTGGGTTTTTTCGGGCATATGGCCATGTTCTAGAGGCATTTTCTCCTGACGTTTCGCCTGCATCTATGGCAAGCATCCTCAGAGGCGAGACGTTTGCATGAATAATGTTTTTTATATATATTCTGCAGTCTTATATAAGAAGAAAGGTGTAAGGTGTAAATGAATAAATATGTAATAAATAAAACAAATCCCTGAATAGTGACAGTGAAGCAACAATTTAACAATTAATTAAATTGTTAAATTAAATTACTTAATAAAACACATTTTAACTCCAAATTTATCAAGTGAAGTTACCAAAAATATCATATTTTTATGATGTACTAGGTATTAGCAGAGTGTTGAATTCCCATTTTGGAAAATTGATGAGGTAACATGCAGACACACATTCAACTTAAAAGAAAGCATCATTCTTGCTTGAAAGAAGGTCTGATTTTAAATAAATATTTACCTCTTTTTCCCTGAATACCATTCAATGAAGAACCAATGCAAGATCAGAGGAAGCATGGCCATAAAGCCAAGATACAGCCAGTCATAGCGCTCTGGAGATCCAATACATTCTCGGCAGATTTTGCGGGCGTCTGTTCTTTGTCCTCTTGGACACACCTGTAGAGTATCACCACAATTACAAGAGTAATACTTTTATTAAAAAAAAATTAACTGAAAAAACATGACACACTTTATCTACTGAGATAAGCCCAAGATGTTGCTATTCTTCTCCTCAGCCATATCTAGTAGCAGCTTTATTGCAAACAAACAATTTGAAACATTCAAGTGGCTTTGCTCCATAATCCTCTACTCACCCCACATTCACCATGAACGTCAGTCCCATTTATAATTTCGACTATTCGTCCACAATAAAGTCCAAGGCAGTCTGGCTGGATGTCTACAGCTTCTACAAAATATGAAAAAAGACCAAAATAAAATAAGTACCGTATTTCACTGAATAGCTGTCTCACCCTGTTTTCTGAGTTCAAATATTGGTTTTTAGCCTTTCATCATGTAATTGTGGGCTAACCATTAAAAGAAATTATTTTTAAAAGTGTGGGGTTCCCACTGCAACACCTGTTCCGTTTCTCGACATTTACCTTGCTTCCCTTTTGTTGTTGTTACTATATTGAATTTTAGAAGTACTATAATACTAGATTTTTTTATTTTAAAATCTGCACGTAATGGTCGCACACCATATTTTGGCCCAAAAATCCACATAAAATCTGCAATGGTTATGTAGTACAATATGGTAGTTTTTTTTCTTGCATCATAATAGGCATAATAACTGATCTGCATCAGTGGGAAGACTATCTATCTGCTCAATAATGCTACAGCTCTTTAGAGTACTGAAGGACAGCTCTTACCCATATCCACAAACCCATACCCTATTTCATTTTGATTTAAAATCTGCTTTTAATACTAGCAGGCAAATGGGAAAGTGATAGTTGAGTGGAGAACCTACTCCTTCCGTTTTTCAACTACATTCTTCATTATCCCTTAATTGGCATAGTATGCACTCAGAACCATGCATTCAGAACCATTCTGACTTGAAGGGGGTCAGAGAAAAGGGAAGTATTATGGGAAGCATTTTTTCTGAAATACTGGAAACCATTTATGGGCTTTTGGGGCAAGAGGAATCCTAGCAATACAATAATGTGTGCTTATGGTTATTAGTGGCCTTCTGTTTATTTAGCTCTATAATGGAAAAATGTTTTATTTTTAATAATTGAGGATCAGAGTTCTTTGTATTTTAATTATTTAGTGTTTAAGGCAGGCATGGGCTGTTACGAATTGTGAGAGTTGGAGTCCAAAACACCTGGAGGGGGGGCTGAAGTTGGCCCATGCTTGGTTTAAGAGGTATTAGATTGTCAGTTACCTTGAAAATATTGTTTTAGTTAATATCTTTGGTACAATGTTTAGCAGGAAGTTTAATCTTAAATTAAGTTTCATTCTTAACTATCTATATAAATAAAAATGTAATGTTTGTTTGTGGGATTTTTTATTTTATTTATCATGTCAGGGGCAACCAGACAATTGTATTACATTCCTAACAGAACAAAACAAACAAACAGACAGCCAAAACACAAAATTTGCAAGCTTGGTAGTTGATTACATGTCCTTTGACCAGTATCTGGCCACTTGGAGTGCCTCTGGTGTTGCCGCAAGAAGGTCCTCCATTGTGCATGTGGCAGGGCTCAGGGTGCATTGCAGCAGGTGGTCAGTGGTTTGCTCTTCTCCACACTCGCATGTCGTGGATTCCACTTTGTAGCCCCATTTCTTAAGATTGGCTCTGCATCTCGTGGTGCCAGAGTGCAGTCTGTTCAGCGCCTTCCAAGTTGCCCAGTCTTCTGTGTGCCCAGGGGGGGGTTGGTATCAGCCATTGATTGAGGTTCTGGGTTTGAGCCTGCCACTTTTGGACTCTCATTTGCTGAGGTGTTCCTGAAGTGTGGGGTTAACATAACTCAAAAACCATTGGCCAAACTGTCACCAAAATTAGAAACAATACACCTATCAGGCCAATGAGGGATCATCACTCATAAAAACACTGAAAAACACAGGGTACCAAAAAACAATAAAAAAACCATTATAATGCATGTGCAAAACCACATATATATATACGCAAACACACACATATACACAAATATATACACACTCAAAAGCATATATACAGACTGGGCCACAGCAACGCGTGGCAGGGGATGGTTAGTATATCTATATGTACATTTGTATAGATCATTATTATCCTTTTCCATATATTTTTTTCTTCTATCCTTTTCCCTTTGTTTTGTCTGATGCTGTTTGAATTATATATCTGAAGATTAAAGTATGGATGTGCATGTTTGTGCCACAAAGGCTGTTGCCAGGTGAAGTGGTCCTTCACGATTCCATTATATTGGCTGTTGCCAGGTGAGGCGGCCCTTCACCATGTCATTGCATTGGTTGTTGCTAGGTGAAGTGGCCTTTTGTGATGCCCTTACATTGGCTGTTGCTAGGTGAAGTGGCCCTTTGTGGCACCATTAGATTGGCTGTCCAGGTGAAGTGGCCCTTCACTATTACCATTAAATTGGCTGTCGCCAGGTGAGGTGTCCGTGATGTCATAAATTGGCTGTTGCTTGGTGAAGTGGCCCTTTGTGGAGCCATTAGATTGGCTGTCGCCAGGTGAAGTAGCCCTTCGCGATGCCATCAGAGTTACTGTTGCTAGGTGAAGTGGCCATTTGTGATTCTACTGGGAAAGAAAGGTGGCAGGTGCTTCTGAGGGGAAGGGAAGGAGGAAGGAAAGGAGAAGGAAGGGAAATGAAAAGGGGAGAAAAACTCACCCATCTTTTTCCTGGCCTTTCCTCTAGAGAATGACAATAAAAGAACAACAATATCCGGGTCCTGAGGGCGCAACCAATCAAGAAGCGACTTCAGCTGCTTCTGTCAAACGTCACTTCCTGCGAGAAGCCTCAGCCCCTTGTTGATTGGCCGCCTCTTTTCGGATAACTCCGCCCTTTCAGTTGACGGGCGGTTTCGTCCAATCCTCTTCTCAGGCCTTCTTCAGCTGGGCCAATCAGAGTCAGCGGAACGTTTACATATTAGCCAATCACTGCCCTGGATCTATCGATGGGTGGGGCCTAACTGGAGAGAAACCTTGGGTGATGGAGAGCAAGATGGTATCCGGGTGAGTGAAAGCGTTTGCTGACCAATCGTGAGCACGGAACCGTCTTCGGCTTGGCCAATCACCGTGAGAGGATAGATATCCTAGATATCAACCAATCGTCGCTTTGGATATCGTAGTG